ACAAATTTTGATTGCATCACATGTTTCATAGGATGATCATTTTACACAAAATCTATTATTTTATACAAAATTTTATAAAACATATAATTAATTAAGTATATATTTTCGAGGTGGGGCAGGTAATTCTCTGGGAATTTTGGGGCTAGGCCTTGCGGGGACATACTCCCCAAACCCGCCTCACCCCCACACTTGGGATTACTATTCTCCCTATACCCGACCTTGTACCCGAAAAATTTGGGGAATCCCCAACCCATTTGAGGTGGGTAAAACGTCTATCTATAAGTTTGGTACCTTCAATAGGAAAAACTTAAAGTTTTCGGTACCTTTAATCAAAATAATTGATAGTTTGGTTGTTAAAGTAAGTGCCCTAGAGCCAATCAATTATTGTAAAATTGACTCTGTAATAAATGTTTATTTATCAATAAAAGACATATTATTCTATATCGTGTATGTAATGATATATGTCTTTAGGATGGTAGAACCGTAACGAGAGTATCAAGTATTTCAAATCTTGATAGTAAGAACCCTATAATCACATATGGTGGCCATTCTAAAAACATCCGTAGCCCTAGTATTATTCTGACCAAGGACATAGATAATACGGTAAGGCTATCATAGTGTTGAACGACCCTGTCGAAAGGCAATGACTGATCTCACTTGTCAAGGTTGTTTGCTAACAACCTGGTGTAACGCATGAGTGCTTGCTAGAGGCAAGTTCACTAGACAGACCCACCAGAGGATTCCATATGGATGGTAACCCCAGTGTCTATGGAATAAATCCTCTAACGAATGGTGGTACATGTGATCCGTAGACTTGAGATCACCGGAGCACCTTGTGCACCAATTGGTGTAGTTTGACACTAGACCAACGTAGTTCTATTCAGAGCTATCAATACGGTTGTGATTGGTTACATTGAGAAGTGGATCGACAAAGGATTCATCACTCTTGGGTATGGGAGAAGTTATCTCACTAGGTAATTCAGTAAATTGCAATGACACTTAATCTATGGCCACAATGGGATTGAGTTGATGCTCAATCCAATTTAATATTCCTGTCATTGGTCCAATAACTAAATACAAACATGTCAAGGATATCTGAGGTTGACACTATTTCTGTACCTCATTCTCGATGAGATAACAGTTGATGAAAGGATTTGATTGCACGGTAACCATATCGTTGACAAGCTGCGGTTTCACTGAATCCGAATCTATCGGGTGGCCATGATGCCTTGCTAAGGGCCAATCTTGGTCTGTGTGTAGTGAGATGATTAATTGGTGTTAATCGCCACACTACACGCTGCCGATATGATGAGGAGCCTACGGGTCGCACACTTAGAAGATAATTTAAAAATCAATTTGTGAGAAGGGTATTCTCGTCTTTTAGGACAAAAGGGTATTTTGGTAATCTCACAGTGCAATTAAATTTGCTGAGGTTGTTGCCTGTATTTAATTTTAATATTGAAATTAAATTAGTGAGATTATATTTAAATATATCTCTGTATATATTTAAGTGAATTATTATTATTAATTAAATATTATTATATTATTATATATTAATTGATTTTAATTATAATAATAATTAATTAATTAAAACACCATAAGGGGTGTGTTTGATTGCAAGGGTAAACTAGGGTTGGAGCCCATGGCTATTCCTAAGTAGAATAGGGTTTTAATTGTTGCACTATATAAGTGCAACTTAAAATTAAAACAAATGGAATTATTCATTCAATTAAAACCCTAGCCACCCTATCTTTGTCCCTTTCAAGAAGAAAACTTTTCTTGTTCTTCTTTCTTGATTCTTGAAGCCCTTGATTGTTCTAGCAAAATAATCAAGGGTTCTGCGAATTATCTTCGTGTGGACTTCCGTGAGTGCGATCCTACTTTGGATCGATTGGCGAAAAATCATGTGAACAGTAGACGGTGAACAGTAACTGTGAACAACGTTCCTGTCCGAAGTCAGAGATATTTGGAGGAGCCTCCAAACATACGTAAGTATTCTAATCCTTGAATGGATTTGTTTTATACAGATTTTGTTTATAAACATGTAAATGATATAATCTATACTCGGATCTTGGCAAAGAAAGGTAATTGATTTACCGATTGAATTTTTGTTTTTCCGCTGCATATGTTAGATCAATTACTAACATTGGTACCTACAATAGGAAAAAAAATAGTTCGGTACCTTCAATATGAAAAAAGTGATAGTTCGGTACCTTCTGATGTAATTAAGCCAAAAATATATAAGCCATGTTACATTAAAGGTTTAAAATGAAATAAAATATTTATCTAAAGTTGTTTGGGATAATGATTTATGCTTTAGAGTTATTACCACATCTTTTAAATTACGGGTACGTAATAACTCACGAGCATGGACACCTTCTTGTTGAAGCCAAAATATTTCTAGCTTCTCAAGCATGTTTAAATCTTCTTGGCATGAAACTTTTTGTATTTCCGTACTATACTTTTTGTATTTCCGTACTATCATCCTCAGGATTATTTCATTTTTCCTTTTGTCTAATTGCAGCAATTGTTCCTAAAACAATGAATTGAAATCCTAATACATATTACTAAAACGTGAATTATAAAATAAGAAATTAAAACAGTAATTGTAGATGCAAAAAATCTACCGTCATGAAAATAGGGTCTGATCCCGTAAGGTTGAGGCCACTGACAATCTGTTGAACCTACACACATGAAAGGGCAAACTGTAGATGCAAAAAATCTACTGTCATGAAAATAGGGTCTGATCCCATGAGGTTGAGGCCACTGACAATCCGCTAGACCAGGAGTCTTGTCAGAGGCTAGGACTACGGCGAAGGCGTCGGGTTCTTGGGAGCCAGAACTTTAGGAGCAAATAGATGGTTTTGAGTAGTGTAGATTGACTATAGGAGATTGCCCCTGGGAGATTGCCCCTTAATGAGAGGGCAAGCCTCTGTTTTTATAGTGAACCCAACGGATTGGAATCTTAGTAGGACATTGAGTCCTCTTTTTTAGGAGATAATCCCTATCAAGAAAGAAATATGATTTCTTGACCTTATCAGATTAAGTTTAATGGTTTAAATAAGATTTAGAATCTTAGTAGGACATTAAGTCCTATTTTGGGAGATAATCCCTATCATGAAAGAGATATGATTTCTTGACCTTATCAGATCAAGTTTAATAGTTTGAGTAAGATTTGAAATCTTAGTAGAAGAGGAAATAGAATAGGATTCTGATTTCCTATTTATAGACTGTTGTAGGCTAATTGGCTGAAACCCAGTTTAGTTTAACTTACATGATAGCCCAACTCATAGAATGGGTAGGTCGCAAGGTGATTTTAAGCGTAGGCCCAATCGGAATTGGGTTGAGGCCTTGGGCCGTGACATGTTTATTTTGTTATTAGGCCTCGTCAAGCCCAAGATGATTTTTTGCCCTAACAGTAATTTCTGTAACTACACCTCTATTAAGTTATATCCTCCATAGTAATAAATTAGTTTGATCCCACTATTATCATTATAGAGAGGTTTTACTGCTTCTATATACATTATGTTATAAATCTTTTATCTGACTATAAATTATTAATTACATACGCATGCATATATATAAATCGGCTTAAATATAACATGAAACAAAATAATGAGGCAACCAACTTACATTTAAAAAAACTAAATTTAAATGCCCTTTTTGTTTTGAAGTTTAGAATGAAATATTAAATAAGGAAACAATTAAAAACAATGTATCTGATGTTGAAATATGAAACAAAATAATAACACACACATAAGAAACTTACAATTGGTTGTGTTATGTGTGGTACATTGAAAAAGTAGATAAAAGAACTTCTAAATACTGAGATTAAAGAAACTTACGATTTTAGGAATGGAAGAACGAAATTTTGATTTACGGTTTTAGGAATGGAAGTATGTAATGAGCCGCAACAACCACTGATGAGAAGAGAATTAGGGATTAGGGATTTACCATTATGAAATTACGGTTTAGGCTTTAACCTTTTAGGCATTTAGTTTTTTTTTTTTTTTTTGTTACTCGCGAGTACTCGCTCACCTGTAAATCAAAAAGGTCGGACCGAGTGCGGGTAGAAAGAACGAGTCCAAAATGGTGGACTCATACCCTATATTATTTTGACAGGTACGGGTCCACTCACGGGTATGTACCCATTTTGTTAAGTCTAGTGGGATTTTGTGTTCATGGGTGGTTTTATGTATGTATTTACAGGTGGTTTTATGTTTGTCTTAATAGAAGTGATTTTTGGTGTATGGTAATGTATGGTGATGAATTGCTACTGGGGAAAAGAAATGGTAGGAGCGACCAGGTTGGGAGGGAAGAGTTGGGGTGGGGTTTAGCGTGGTTTTGTGTTTTTGCTATATATATATTTTAACTCGTATGGTGCGTTTGGTTCAGTGAATCTTTTATCACTAAAAATGTAAGATTACTACTGTGATAAATTACCTTGAAAATTATAGCTGAAATCTATATTAATATATTTAGTTAGATTAGTGGGTATAAATAATTAAAATGTTTGATTGGAAAGAATAAAATATTATCACCAGAGGCTTTTATTGAATTGTCCATTCTTTTTAATATTATTATTTTAAAATCTAATTTAGCCCCTATATTTGAGAATTTAGCTAAAACACCTCCAACAACAAAAATTTAAATTTTAACAAAATCCCCCTAGCCACTACAGATGATTGCCGGCCATCAGCCACTGTCAACAATCTTCAGAATGGCACACAACCAGCCAGATCTGGCCAACCATGCATCAATCTGATTGTTTTCTGTCAAACCGAAGGCAAGAAACCCTAACATTAGGGGTACCATTCGTAATTTGTAATACCTTAGGAGAATTTTAGTGATTAGCCTAAACCTCAGGGAAGTGGCAAGAAACCCCAAGTTATTTTTGAAATTTAACCAAATTACCAAAACCATTTTCAATCGCATCTTTCAAACAATTCAACAAAACAGAACGCTGCGTTTTAGGAGAGCTATAAATTTAGATACAGTAACTAGGGTGAACAAATTATCCTGGATAAGATACAGAAAAAATAGAAACACGAGGCAATCGCAACAGCAAACATGAGCACCACCATCACGGCGGACCTTCAATCACGCAACTGGACGGAGCTTCCAGTCGACGTGACGGCGACGATTCTCTCGAAGGTTGGGGCCATAGAAATCCTGACAAGTGTCCAATATGTGTGCTCTTCATGGCTGAGGATCTGCAGAGAGCCGTCGATGTGGCGGAGCATCGACATGCGTAACCTTGGAGATCCTTGCGACATGGAATATGACTTGGAGAAGATGTGTCGACATGCCATTGATCTTAGCCATGGCCTCTTGCTCTCTATCAACATCGAGTTCTTCGGTACCGATGATCTCCTCAATTACATCGCTGAAAGGTAAATTCTTTAATGATTTTAAACTATGAAGAAATGTGAATTATATCTCATCGTTTTAGCTGATCTATATTTAGCTCTACTGAGATTATAATTTATCATGAATTAATTATGATTTAAGAATATTTTACGTTTTTTATGTGATGACGTGTTGACCTCTTTTGATTGATATGTTGACTTGTCTATTTATTTTTTGTATTGAATGCTCTGTTCATGTCAACATTCTCAGTAGCACCCTTTTTGTTTATCACATTAGGGCAATGAGCTACTGGCTCTATGTGGTGGACGGTTTGTGCTTAGATATAGGTGCATAGCATTATGACATTGTTTTTCTGAGACTGAAGAAAACTGGGTTGATCTGTGCTAGGTTTATGTCGACATTGTCCCAAACATATGCTGTTGTAAACTCAATGTTATAGAAAGTATATTTGCAGTTCCAGAAGAAAGCAGTCGGGCTAGAATCATATCACTAGTGATAAAATAACATCATGGTTACATATGATTATTATATGGTGGTGTAAGAAAGCTTGTGACTGAGAGTGTAGTATAAGCTATGTGAGGTTCAAAAAGATTTTGCATTTACTTAATGTAACGAACTAAAATTTGATCTTCATAGTTATGGTTGATGGTCATCATCTTAATATCAATACATATATTAACTTTGAAGTTAATAATGTGAAAAATAAGTTTAAGAATGTTGTTGTAGGATCTAAAGAACAGTTCAGTAGTTGTTCCCTTAGTATTTCTTACTGTATCAGTATGGAAGGAAATTAGGGTTTGAAATATAATAGGCATTTCAAAACAAAATTGTTGAATGATTGAAATTAGTAGAATTTTAAGTAAATATTTGATAAGAATATTAATCGGAATTCATTGTAGCTTTTCTATAATTTTTTGTTTGGAGCTGGATAGTGTTCATTTTGTATATTTCCATAAAGTGCATTTCGTATCAAAAATAAAAAAAGAAATTGAATTCAATTGTAATTTGAACCAGGGTCGACAAAATTCGGTCGAATCTAATTTTGACAAACTTGAACCGATCTGTTGTAGTGAAGAACCAAACCAACATCAGATTTTCTGGAGTCGGGTCATTCAGTTCTTCAATTGCTTTAACTATTTTTTTTTTTTTTTTAATAGAACATTAACCTGTTTTTGCCCCCAGAAAAGAATAGCATATTTACCCAATATTCATACAAGACTAACGAAATATATATACAATTATAACTTTTGCAAAAGAAACAAATAATTTTCTAGACAGAAAAAGAAGTATAATCATTGTCTCTGGCGGTTGCAGGTCTTGACTTCTCTCAGTAATACATTGTGTGGGCAATTGATTGATTTTTAGGAAAGAAAAAATAACTGATTTGTGGAAGAAGAAAACAGTATCTAATGTTCAGTGATGTGATCATTTTACCATGTCTTTTTTTTACTTAGAAACCTTACTTAACTCAGATCATGTTGTATGATGATTTTTGTCCATCCCTGCATTGAACAAGGACTATTGATTATTATATTAACACTAATAGTAATCCTAATGTAAGCAAGAATTTTAGCTTTCAAAAATAGGAAATCAAGAAGAGAAGGGAAAAGAGCAAGTAGTAATTCAAAGAAGAAAACTGCTTAATAAGAGAGAAAGAGCAGTAAACAGTTATAGCTATAACAATTCCATTAATCAAAACCCATAAGAATATTAAATATTATAATTATTTGTCAATTTCTCTTCTTATTCTAATGGGACTAGGATTTGACAGCTCAATAGTATTAGAAATCTTTTACAACTGATATAAACTCAGTGGACTAGGTATGGATTAATTCAGTTTAGATTCCATTGATTACCTAAATATTGTCAATTCTACATTAATGGAAATCCTAAACTATTTATAACTTGATCTTTGATCAACTATTCCTTGCTTCAATGCGAGGGCACCTTGGGACTCAACATGTATTATTCCTGAACTTTTTGATGTTATCACAAGTTCCCTGCTGAGGTTTGTCATTAATGACCTTCAAAGTACAAAGGATGTTGTTATAGCTTATGGGCCATCGTCACCTTAATATTCTAAGATACCCCTAAAAAAGTCGGGTAAGCAAGGGTTGGACTAGCTGATTCCTCCACTTGTGTGCTATTTGAGTAGGATTGTGAAGCTCCTCATGTTCACCTACTGGGTAAAGGGCGATTCTTTTACTGTTAAAAGGATATACTGCGCTTACACCAATGGTTAAGCTTTTAGAAAAGTTGGTTAGCACCATTTTCTAAGATGTTAGTTGTTACTTTCTTTCCTCTTTTCTCATTTGAGCAAAAGTTGTTACTGTATTACCAGGTTTCATTGGTGTTGCTTGTGATTTTGCTAGTACTTAACTGTATGTGGATCACATGCCTTGCAGTGCTTTACATAAATAAGATTGAATTTCTGATGCTTCACAGGAGAGTTTAATGCTTTGTGGAGATTAAGTGCAGCGTGTCATGTTCTCTTTATAATACTTTTCTGTTCAAAATCAATTTGCTTCAAGAGCTTAAAACAGTACATCAGAGTGTGGTCATAAGTCTTTCAAGGTTTTATATTATTGATGTACTGAATAAATTCATTTTTTATATCATTATTGTTAGGATCTGTTTAAATAAATAGCTCATAATTCTTGCCATGGAAGTATATTTGATACCATATATGAACTTTTTTATGTATTATATAATTTTAAATTCTAGTAATGCAACATCTGCACATGGTGCTTTTCTATTTATGTGCATCTTTTTTTTTTTTTTTTTAACTTTATGTTCGTGAAGTGAAAGGGGTATGCCTAATATAGTTTAGATTGTCATATGGAAATGTTTAGGCAGAGGTCTATGACTTGCAATTGTTGGATATTTACTGTAATTCATTTTGCTGCCTTTAAACCCATGTGAAATTTGGTATCTGTAACATACATATTTTTTTCCTTGACAAAGCTGTAANTCACCTACTGGGTAAAGGGCGATTCTTTTACTGTTAAAAGGATATACTGCGCTTACACCAATGGTTAAGCTTTTAGAAAAGTTGGTTAGCACCATTTTCTAAGATGTTAGTTGTTACTTTCTTTCCTCTTTTCTCATTTGAGCAAAAGTTGTTACCGTATTACCAGGTTTCATTGGTGTTGCTTGTGATTTTGCTAGTACTTAACTGTATGTGGATCACATGCCTTGCAGTGCTTTACAGAAATAAGATTGAATTTCTGATGCTTCACAGGAGAGTTTAATGCTTTGTTGAGATTAAGTGCAGCGTGTCATGTTCTCTTTATAATACTTTTCTGTTCAAAATCAATTTGCTTCAAGAGCTTAAAACAGTACATCAGAGTGTGGTCATCAGTCTTTCAAGGTTTTATATTATTGATGTACTGAATAAATTCATTTTTCATATCATTATTGTTAGGATCTGTTTAAATAAATAGCTCATAATTCTTGCCATGGAAGTATATTTGATACCATATATGAACTTTTTTATGTATTATATAATTTTAAATTCTAGTAATGCAACATCTGCACATGGTGCTTTTCTATTTATGTGCATCTTTTTTTTTTTTTAACTTTATGTTCGTGAAGTGAAAGGGGTATGCCTAATATAGTTTAGATTGTCATATGGAAATGTTTAGGCAGAGGTCTATGACTTGCAATTGTTGGATATTTACTGTAATTCATTTTGCTGCCTTTAAACCCATGTGAAATTTGGTATCTGTAACATACATATTTTTTTCCTTGACAAAGCTGTAAGAAAAGTTTGGTTTCATTTTCTAATTTTCCAATTGATGGACACATGTTTCACATCTGTAACCTTTTCTTAACCCCAAGGAAATGGTGGAATGGTTAAGGCCTTTGGCTTCAGCAGAAGATCAAGGGTTCAACTCCCCTTGGGCCATCTATTTAGAATTTTGTAAGGCCCAAATTTCCTTGCTACCAAGCTAGTGTGATTTGGCCGCTGTCCTGAGTTTGTATGCACTGAACATACAGATAGATTGAGGGGTGTTTGTGTATCGAAAAGGAGAAAAAAGAAAGAAGAGAGAGAGAGAGAGATGAAAGAAAGCACTGAAAATTAATCTGAAGTGGGCTGTAAATTTGAGCTTAAGAGTGGACAAATTGATTCAACAAATGTCCTCAAGTATATGTTGCGGGCAGGTTCTTTCCCCTGATTTTTCATTTAATTAATTTTTAAATCACCTATGGTAGTTGGAAGATAAATCACTTGATAAGCCATTGAATATACTGAATTGTAAACCCTCAAGCAATAACTTCCTAATAATTGTTCTCCCATATTCTTCTCAAATATCTAAAAACTGTACTTCTATCTCTTTGTTCTATTAGTATTACATTGATGGTGAACTTTGTCTTATGGTTGTGATCATTTATATGTTATTGTTGATTTTTTAAATCATGTTTTTTTATGATCCTTTAGGTGTACCCGTATAAAAAGCCTTAGACTGGTATCTTGTTATTGCATATCAGACCTTGGATTGAGCGAAGCTGTATCAAAGTTTCCACTGCTCGAGGAGCTTGACATTTCATTTTGTTCACTATCAAGAGAAACTTTGGAAGCTGTTGGGAGTTGCTGTCTTCATCTGAAATCATTGAAATTGAATGATAGGGGTTATAGATGCCCGAAGATAGAGTGTGATGACGAGGCACTAGCAATTGCAGAGAACATGCCTGAATTATGCCATCTCCAGATATTTGGTAATAAGCTAACAAATGATGGCTTGGAGGCTATTCTTGATGGTTGTCCTCACCTTGAATCGCTTGACCTGCGTCAGTGTTTCAACATCCATCTTGTAGGGAATTTGGAGAAAAGATGTGCTGAACGGATCAAAGTTTTACGACATCCAGATGATTCTATTGATGACTATGAATTTGATCCAGACTTTCAGGATGGTTATGGATCATCTGAAGAAGACGACTATCCATCTGGGATTTCTGACATCGAATTTGTGTCTGATGAGGATGATTACTATGAATTCTCAGATTATGAATTTGACTATGAATATATGTTTTATGATTAGTTGTCAAGTTTGAACGAATTAAGAGTGTTGTTAGTACTCATATTATGTCTAAGCTTGGTAATGATCTGTAATCAGCTAGTATCTTTTCTGCCACACAAAATGTCTTCAGACTGGAAATGTTCATATTGGTAGCTCTTTTCGGTATGATTACATGTAATTTATTTTTGTATTTTGCTTTCGGGTTAAGAGGCTAGTTCGGGATTGCTGAAACTTCAAACCATTATATCCATCAACAAGTGTAGCAAGAAACTTATACCTAAAATTAAACGTTACAAAAGTGTTAAGAATGTTACCTCTTCTTTTGGGAATATTGAATAAATTACTTTGTGTATCTGATTTTATGGCTTAATTAAATTCAAGAACAGTATACATAAAACCATTTTTTTTTTTTCTTTTTAAAATTGAAGAGTATAATTCATGGCAAAGGAATTATTGTCCAAAACTCTGAAAATGAGTATAATTGGGGGTTAATATATGTACTTTGACCCTTAAAAAGAAAGGGTAATTTTGCCTGATCAAGAAACCTACATCTAACATCGCAGCCAGAAGACAGGCCTACTTAAACACAGCTATATACAAGCTTTGTTTTATGTAATCAGTAAAATTAATTATTCAGAAATACATAACATAGCCCACGTACTGCCTATACAATGTAGGCACAAGTTACGTTGCATGCACGATTCACGTGACATTAGACTCCTTTCTCCATCCTTCCANTGTAGCAAGAAACTTATACCTAAAATTAAACGTTACAAAAGTGTTAAGAATGTTACCTCTTCTTTTGGGAATATTGAATAAATTACTTTGTGTATCTGATTTTATGGCTTAATTAAATTCAAGAACAGTATACATAAAACCATTTTTTTTTTTTCTTTTTAAAATTGAAGAGTATAATTCATGGCAAAGGAATTATTGTCCAAAACTCTGAAAATGAGTATAATTGGGGGTTAATATATGTAATTTGACCCTTAAAAAGAAAGGGTAATTTTGCCTGATCAAGAAACCTACATCTAACATCGCAGCCAGAAGACAGGCCTACTTAAACACAGCTATATACAAGCTTTGTTTTATGTAATCAGTAAAATTAATTATTCAGAAATACATAACATAGCCCACGTACTGCCTATACAATGTAGGCACAAGTTACGTTGCATGCACGATTCACGTGACATTAGATTCCTTTCTCCATCCTTCCATTGACTACACCTTTCTATTTCTACGTAATCTCTGACTCTGACGCCCTTCCACTGCTTTTCTGCCACGTTGCCATTCTGCCGTTGACATCTCTACCTCTTTCCTTCTTCACGTCACACCCTTGTGTAAATATATTTATAACATTTAGTATAGAAAATAAATTTTCATTAACAAATTTACTAATTATTTTAAACGATTATAGGCTTTCAATAATATAAATTTAATATTTATCTGTATAAAAATAATAAACAAGGATCCAATATTTGAATTGTGGGCTGTCAAATATAAACTATAAAACAATATAATAAATTTCTTTACAAAAGTTTATATACCGAAATTTGAAAATTTTCTTTTCTTATTTTATTTTAGAAAAAGATTTAATATTTTAAAATTAAAATTGATACTAGAGCTTTACATCATATCAAAAGTGAGTGATAATGGAAATTTCTATATTTACAATTGTAAATTTATAACAAATTACTAGATAGAAACTACACTATACTTTAAATGTTCAAAATATTCAAACTTGAATATTTCTTTTCTATTTTGATGCGACAAAAATTATTTTTTTATTAAATGAAAATAAATAATAGAATGCAAAGGAAGAATTTAAAAAACAACACAAGGAGAGTGCTAAAATATAAAATAACAAAGTATTTTATTACAATTTTTAATAAGATCAATCTATTTCATGGTATATATAGTGGATTTACAAATTGAAGAAAAATCATATATTAAATATACATAGTCATGAAATATATATAATCCACGAGATGCCATGACCACCTAGGCTTAATAGTGCTCCACCAATAAATATAAGACTCATAATATAGCATTAGAACGTGATACTCCTAACATATATAGCTAATGAAAACCTTATAGTATATACATATTGCTAGAGATTAAGGAAGCTAAACCACAAATTTGCAACAAATTATCATGCAAACTTGAATAAAAATGGGAATATGATAGTACGATTTGGGTGACAAAATGTAAAATTATATACCTAATTTGAAAAGATTAAACGATTTTTTCCCACCCAAATTATGGCCTAATTATACTTTCCCATCCACGGATTTTTAAATTACTATTTTACTAATCAAACCTTATGTTTCATTAATAATTTATGTTAAATACAATGATATTTATTGTGAAGACGAAAATATCCCCACCAAAGATCAACCCTCAATCATCGGCCAGTGCAAATCAAAGTTTCATAGCCCAAATTCTGGCCAATTCCGGCACCAAAAATCAACCCATTCAACTCATTGGCATCTCCCCATCAAAACCCCTCTCACCCCTACCCACAATCACTCCTATCTTCTTCTTCTTCTTCATCTCCCCTCCTCCAATTACGACTGCCCTTTTTGCACAACCGATTGATTCCGACATTGTTGTGACTCCCTGCCACCACTATCTTATTCCTCGTGCCTTCCTCATCAAAACCCATCTTCCACCGTCCTCATCGAACCCACTTTTCGCTGACATCTGCGAGTTTTCGTGGAAGCGCAATCACCCTCTCTTGCATGATTTTGGTCGACTCTTACCATCAAAATCCGACTTTCCACCATTAAATGAATCACTGATCGTCTCTCTTCAATAGCCCCAACAATCTAGACTGTGATAGGTCTCCAATCGCCGACGACCTCTCTTAGGGTTTCTTGTGCGATTTGTGTGTTTGGGTTTCAATTGAAGGTTTTTTTTTGGAGTTGTTTGGGCGATTGATTATCTTTGTGGAGTGCTTGATTGGTTTGAAGTGTTATTTTGCATTGATTGAATGTTTTTTAGTTGTTTTTGGTACAACTGGCAACTCACCAATCTTTGCTCCGTTAGCGACGTCATCGAGATTGGGCGTCCTTTTTTAATTGACCATCCAGTCCTTACTTATGATAGACTTTTGACCATCCTATCGTTACTTAGAATGGACTTTTGACCATTCTACCATTCTTCACAACGAAATTTACTAACTGAATTGTACTTTAGGTGGCAAAATAGTGCTTTAAAAATTCGTGGGTAGAAAAGTGTCATTATACCATTATTTGAGTGGGAAAAATTGGATTACTCAATTTGAAAATTTTAGAAACAATTAGAATAGAGATGGTTGGCTTGACATTGTGTTTTGCAAAATCAAATCCGAGCCGGCATTTTCTTTCTCACAATCAACTATCTCCAAGGTTGTCGACAAAGCATCGCTTATTAGCTCTTAACCCAACAATCTCTCATATTATTATAATTATAATTAGATATATAATACAAGCAATCAGTTTGAAACAGGAAAGTCAGAACTATATAATTAATGAGAGCATAATCTTAGTTGGACCCATTGAAATTATGTGCCTAACCCAAAGAAATTCATGCCCAAATCTCACTTATCAATGAATATAAAATTTAACCTTTGCTAGTTAGTTACATCATTGTTACCAATTGAGGAAAGACAACTAAACATGACTCCACCTTTAACTATTTATTCATATCAAAATAATATTATTGTGAAACACACATCTCCATATATTAAGAAAAGTCATCCATTTATCATATCAAGCTTAGACTTTCTCTTCCGTTCTCATTATCACCTTATAATTTCTAAGCTTTTCTGTTGCTTTAAATTAAATTAAATTATTGAAACTTTATATAAGTACTTGCCCATCTCTTCCTTTGTAACAAACTTGTGATCATGGAGAATTATGTTTGTGGACATGTCCAAAATAATGGGGTCATAAATGATAGGCACCAAAGCTTTATAATTATTGGTGAGTAATTTTGGCTTTTTTTAAGATCATCTATATATTGAAGTATTTATCATGTATTTTCTTAAAAAGAATCTTTCAATTAATGTTTTGTCTAACCAATAACCAGATAAAATAGAAAAACTTTTTTTTTTGGGGGGGTATTCGGGGGTGTTGGGGCCAACTTGCGTACACCTCAACTAGTCTTCTGAGGCCTTAAAGTTAACGGCTAAGTATGTCTCCGGTGGCTATCCTTATTAGTAGTCGTAGGGATTCAAACTCAAGACCTCTTGAATAATAAATCTAAAAGTCACAAAAGAAAAAATTGATTATAAATAGTTTAAAAAAGAACAACTTCTATACTTCGAAATGTAGTGATATCTTCTTATTCACTCAATGATTTAACTATTTTGATTTTAATTTGTGTTTTATTTTATTTAAAATACCCAAATCATGTCAATCACATTCACTTAAGTAAATCTTATTATTTTGGAATTCAATAATGCTAAATTTACAAAGTTAGCATACTAACTTTTTATCCCAATTTCCAACCTATACGAAGGCTGATTTGACAATATTTCTTTAAATATAGGATTATAGGTCATGTAAATTAACTTGTTAGCTATCTCTGGGTGACCCAGTGGTTTGATAGACACTCTTGAGTGTATTACTCAAAAGGTTCTTAGTTCAAGTCTCTCATCGGATGTTAATAGGGGTAGCCACTGAAACTCTTATCCGATTAATAGTTCTAAAGGCTTGGAAGATTAGTTGAAATACGTATAAATCGGTCTGAATACCCCCAATCATAAAAAAATAATAATAATAAATAAATAAAATTAACTATCATATGAATTGGGATACATAATAGGAATTCCAACTTTGTATATATAACATTATCCTTTGGGAAAACTTCAAGGTTACTATTTCAAAAAATGGTTTACCAAAAACTTATATAAAAATCTAATAAAAAAGTTACAAAAATTCCAAATATTATTATAAGATAATGTTATAGCCCTAGGAAACAATTAGATAAGCTAGTATACTCTTTAAGTGATACTATATTTAATGATGATCAAGTAAAAACATAATTAAACTCAAATAATACAACCTCCAACATTATTATTATTTAGTCATTATATAACAAAAAGTAGGTAAAGTTTAGAAATACAAGGGACGCTACATTAATTATACGGTAATTTATCTCTCAATTATTGTAATAACCAGTATAAATAAAGCCCTCTTGCATTTGAAGAGGGATAATTTAGCGGAAATAAAAAAATCCACGTAGCAAGGAAGAAAATGCCATGTGGGCGAATGCGATTGGGTAGGGTTGGGTGGGAACAGCTATTTGGTAGCATTATGTTTGGTTAGACAGAAGTGGGGACACTGCTTTTAACTTAGCTGTTAAACCTGCCTGGTTGGCAGGTGTTCACATCGACACTCCCATGTGTTGTCATACCAATTATAACTATTCCCTCCATTCACCAACGCCCTTTTCTCACGCTCCTTTTTCATTGGTTCGTGCTTTCCACCTGTTTACTGAGAGCGTCATTCTCCAATGTAACCTCGGCATATGCAAAACCCCGCTGCCCCGTTTGAACTAAATTATTATTATCCAATGATTTTTCCTTTATATAAAACTAATAAAGGAAAGAGAGTTGAGAGTCAATCTCAGCCGTTGGTTGTGTCCAACACGATGCTTATCTCCATTGTCTAAAACCAGCGCATGATAGCATTTAAGTACTATGATAATTGGGTTTAATTAATTAAGAGTAGTCAAAATCAACTGAAGATTTATCTGCCTTTGTGACGGCGTCAATAAACCTACTCCACTGGGGGTTTTCACTTAATTTTATGAAATCAAAAGCATTCGAATAATAAACGTGGAAGTTGGTAATGCATGAAGCATGCAAAAATGATATGGGTTTAGTAGAGTAAGTGTGTATGTGGCAGACAAATCCTCTTTACGCAATTGCAAAACCCATCATAACTTTTGGAAAAGTCGAATTAATCTTCGAATGATTCGCAAACATGTTAAAACATGCTTACCATTTCATTATATTCTCTTCATTATTATTCCTCTTTTAAGACATGGGTTGGCCTCTTAATCTTATCTCTATAGTTGGAAACGTAAGTTTGGTGTTCAATTATTACTATTATTGATTTTATTTTCTAAAAGATGAATCATTTCAATTCAATCATCATCATGGATCCATTAATTTCGGCTACTTCATATTTGGATAAATGTTGTTCGTGACTTCATGTTTCATATATGAACTCGAATACAAAGTTTATTCTTTAGATTATACGTTAAAATTTTGAATGTTTGTAATGCAAAATTCACTCACAAAAGGTATCATATTGTCAATTAATAATATTTACGTAATTAGTTATATAATGTCTCAAATGCATACAACTTCAAAAAATATGCACATTTATCACCCGCCAGTAATAAAATCTGGCAAGGGTTGACTCTAAGACGTGGCGTAGAACGCCGCTGATTCTTCTCTGTCCAACTCAAAAGTAATCAAATGCCGTTGCTTGTATTTTAATCTTTTTCTCAGGGATCGGCATCGTCTTTGCCCTTCTAAGACCCGGAATATCAGGAGGCGTCAGCGACCGTACAAGAGCAAAGTTAAGACCTTTGAAAAACTGGTGCGTTTTGACGTCGGCAGCTCCACGTTTCGATCCGAGTCGATTATTAGGGTCCTTGTTCAACAAACCAGAAATCAACTCCCGCGCGTGGAGCTCAAATGTCGAAGAAGGCACGTGGGTCGGGAACGTCAATGGTTTCTTTACTATGTTGCGCAGTGTATTTTCATTTGATGGAGCAGCAAATGGTGTCCGCCCATAAATCATCTCGTAGATAAAAATGCCAAAGGCCCACCAGTCAACAGCGTTACCATGGGACCCACCGGACGCAACCTCAGGAGAAACATACTCGTGAGTTCCGACAAAAGAGCATGACCGGGCGGTGACCGGCTCGGCAACGAAGAGCCGGTTAGGGGTTAATGTTTGGATCTTTCTAGACCGGAATAGCCGGTTAAAAAAACAAGAGAAGCGCGTAGGGCTGTTACTAAAGTGTTGACGTGTGTAGGTTTGGGATTGTGGAGACGCTGGGTCGGGAGAATAGGATGGAGATTCAACGGCTGGGATGGCGTCTGAGCATAAAGACAAGTCAAAATCTGAGAGCATGATATGACCATCCGATCTAACTAAAACATTTTCGGGTTTCAAGTCTCTGTAGATTATACCCAGCATGTGAAGGTACTCTAGAGCCACCAAAACTTCCGCAGCATAAAACCTGAAAATAAAAAATGAAATTAATTAATTTTAATTTTAATTTTATTATCCACCAAACAGTTTTTGAAAATTGAAAGCTGGAATGAAATCTCATCTCAGAGAAAATCTTCTGATTTCTTGCATAACCAGGCAAATTTTATCCAAGAAGCAAACTAAAACAGGAAGACCGTATTGACCTAATAATGGAAAATTATCGAATAAGGGAAATTTGCGGCTAAATCAGTTGATTAGTGAGAGAAAATTCTGAAATATTAAAACGATGTTTAACGACCCAATTAATGAACGAAATGATGTATAAGATAAAAGTTTTTATATATTTTTTTCATTGAAGAAGACGTTGCAGGGCCAAAGCAGACAAGAGAAGAACAATACGGTGCTTTGTTACACAAGAAAACAAAACACCCAGAATCAAGAAATTTCCAAAGATATTTCAAAAATAATTTTTAATAATACAAAACTTGAAAAAGTTGCAGCTTTATTTATTTCTGATAGGAAGAAGATGAATGTATCTACAGAGATTAACTTAACAAAATAATAAAGATTAAATGAAGTACCTTGCAGAAGTCAAAGAGAATCTTTTGTGAGGCTGTTTATGTCTAAGAGAATGCAAGTCACCACCGGAACAAAACTCCATGACAATACAAGAGAAATGGGAGGCTTCAAATTCAGCGTAAAGACTAGGCAAAAATGGATGGTCTAACATTTTCAAGATCTTCTTCTCCATTTCTGCTCTGTGAACTTTTTTCTTCATAGCCAATGCCTCTTTATTCACCACCTTCATCGCATACAAACACTGTTCATCATCTCCACCAATCATATTAGAGTGGTTGAGACGGCAGAGATAGACTGTTCCGATATCTCCTGCCCCGATGCGGCGGAGCAGAGCGAAATCTCGGAAAGTGAGGCCGGCTTTTCGGGCAGAAGTTGCTGAGCGGATTGCTGAGTAAGCGAAGTCGGAGGAACGGTGAGGTTTGAGAGCTAGGTTATCTGGGGAAGTTTTAGAAGTTGGGAGTTCGAAAGAGAGACGACTAAAACTACTGCAACTTTCACTGCTCATCGAGCTTGAATTTGTTGTTGTATCAACGTCTGATGAGTCTATTACCATTTTACTTCTCTCTTTAAAAGAGAGACAGACCAAAGGACGAATCGGATTGAGAAAAGGAATTTTAGTTGAACTTTTTTCTAGAACGTATTGAAAAGGAATCCGATACCTGAAATGAGAGGAATGGATATATTCAGCAAGGAGTTTGAAGTCAAAAATAGTGTGCAAAATGAAAACAAAAGTGAAGGTAGTTGAAGTTGAGAGTAGGCATTAAAAGAGATAGAAGAGAGAGAGAATGGTTTGAATGCACATTTTGAAAGAAGCTGGCTTTAACAAACAGTCGACCTGAAAATTAGGGTTTTTCTGAGAAAAAACCAGTTCGTACGCTAAGCCAGTAATGGAGAGAGAGAGCATGTTTTCTCAATTTCTCTGGTTTCTTTTTTATTTGTGCTTTCAGAGAGAGAGAGAGAGAGGATACACTGGAAATGAGATGGTAGTTGAGGGTATTTATGCCTTGGTGCTATGGAGGTAATAAGAGCAAGGTCTAAAGAGTCTTTACACTTCAAGTCAATTTCTACGGGAGAAATGGATTCTTTTTTCTTTTTTTTTCTTTTTCTAAATTTTATATTTAATGATTCTTAATTAATTCATTATGACAAGATCTTTCCAATCAGATATTTAATTATAGCTCCAAATTCATAGAAGTTTCTTCCTGCTTAAGGGTTTTGATATTGGCATTGGGGCTAAAATGGGAACATGACTTAGGGTTAGGGGTAAAATAGAGGTAAGAAAATATGAAGGAAGGGTAAAAGTGTCATCTGGAAATAGGAGATGAAAACAATGTACACGTTAGGTGATAGTATGGCATAATGTTACCAGATACTAGATAGAGTAGAGTAGAGTAGCTTTTACGATGACGTAAGTCTGTGACACGTGCGGGGCGATGTCGTCACGTGTCTAGATTTAATCTCTTGGAAGAAACCGAAAAATTAAAAAGCATTGGAATTCTACACATCAGGCGCGTGTGGTTTTACTGTTGTTTGCAGGATTTGATGAAGCTTTTTCTCTGTAAAATGTCGATAATGCTCATGCTATTGTGATAGAAAAGTAAAATAGCTTTTCGCTAAATTAATTGTTATGTACTTGTCATTTGTCAACCATGTTTAGGCTTTAATTTTAATGTGAAATTTTTTTTTTTTTTTTTGACATTGTTAATATATGTTGGTTAAAAAGAAAATAAAATAAAATATGAAAAACTATAGAGGCAATTAATTATATTATATAGTTTTATTTTATTTTATTTATAAGAGAATTAATATTAGGTGGAGTTAATTTAGAACTTACTTAAAAGAAGCACATTATTTTCTGATCTACGTCAAATCAAAGCAGTGTTAAAATTGAATGAAGAGCATAGCTGTAATAATATTTGAGGCATATATGGTGACACACACATTCCAGACAAAACTTGATTTTCACCACTGTACCGATGGGTCCACTTTCTATATTATTTTATTTATTTATTTTTAATAATGAATAATGTTAAGTTTACATATGCTTTAAATAATTTTTCAGAGATTTTAAAATTATTGATTGGGTAAAAATTTTGTGACATTTTAATCAGACAAATATTTAAATTTAAAATCTCTAATAATATATCAAGATCTAATATCTATATTGAAATACTTGATAATCTAAATAAGCTTCTTCTACATGATGTCCCATCCCACTTTTTTTTTTTTTTTTTTTGTAACAATGAAAACCCTTAATTTTAATTACTATTTAAAAAATCATCACTGCTTACTACTACAAAGATGCTACTTTTGTTGAAGTCATCTTAAGAATTGTTTTTCCTACTTTTCCTATTGATATATTACTATAATAACACATTAATGTAAAATTTGTAAATTAAAAAATTTAAAAATTGATAAAATACACTTATACAAAATTGTATTATAATGAGAGCTTTGTTATAAGTCCACTTTGATATCGGAAAATTCAACTATAAACTTATGAAACAATATAAATATCACGATTGCAATATAGACAAACCCTTTTATTTATTAAGACACTGTAATCTTGTTAAAGAATCAAGATCTATTTATTACAAAATTTGACATAAATTTAAATTATAATCTCTTTCAAACGTGTATAATATTTTTCTAAATTGATAATATTAAATGTTACCTTTAAATCCTTACCATTAGATTAACAGTAATACTACACTCAAAAACTTTTTTCACAAACTTTCTTTCACAAATGCAACGTATCAGCTCATGATTTGTCAGCTCGCAATGGGTCTCGCTTGTCTAACAATGGGTCTCGTCTGCTCAAATATGAACTGACCAATTATGAGATGTCACATCAATATTTGTGAGAGAAGTTTGTGAAAAGTGTTTGTCGGTCTATCTTTATTTTTAGACTAAATACTACACTCATAAACCCTTCTTAAGATTAAATAGAATGAATGCAAATATTTTGTGTAAAAATTAATTTAAATTAAAAAATTCAAACTTTTATCATGTTGATAGTTTCAAGATTTATGTACACAGAAGAGTAATCTTGGGTGATTCATGTTAATAGTTTCATGTGCTTTAAAATTAAACAAACCCCAGCAATAATCACCTAAATAATTATTTTTTTATTGAGTAAACAACGTTAAACAATATTTTGGTAATTTATTAAAAAAAAAAAAAAAACTTATTTTTATAGTGAAAGCTAGGGGTGGACAAAAAAATATGGTAAAACTAGAACCGATCGGGGTTTTGGTTCCGATTTCTATCTGGAATTGACCCTCACATATGATACTGTACGGTTCCAATTCCAATTCCACTACTATAGGAATCGAAACTGAAATTGAGACTCGGATACTTAACCCGAGATTGAACTGTAATTTTTGTAAAAATTTTCTCGAATGGGGTGGGAAATCCCCCGAAAATATCGGGGATAGGGCTGGGGACAGTCCTCAAAAAAATCCATGCCCCCGGGGACAGGCCGAGGGAGGGGATTGTGCCAATCCCCAGCCCGTCAACCCCGCCCTTATGGAGTCCCACCTTCTTTTATTGAATTCTTTTTTTCTTTGCAAGATTGTATATAAAGTTAGAGTTTAAATCATAGTTTTAAGTAATTTATCTAAATTTATGATATTTATTTTTACAAAAATGCTACGGACATTGAATGTTGGTACCGAAATTTTGCACTGATCTATATGGCATCTGACTCGGACGTGGCCATGTAGGACACAACACAAGTAGTCAGTGAATGAATGGCCGTCCAACAATTATGGATGTCTGTCCATATCTTATTGACGATCGTTCATCACAAATGGACGAGAGTCCAAAAAAATCAATAGACTCTCGTCCCTATATTATGGATAAGAGTCCTTTTACTATGGACGGTTGTCCACATTATATGGACGACCATCTATATAATTTTAAAGCATAAAGTATTGAACGTTAGTCCATCTCAATTTTTTTTTTTTTTAAATTTACAATTTCTTTTTCATGTATAAAAACCTATGGCTTGTCTAAGTCAAAATTTTTAGATGAAATATTCATTTTTTAAAGCACAAAACTTTTACATAAAATAAAGGAAAAAAAAAAAACTTAGATCTTTAAAGTACAAAGTATGGATGCCAGTCCATCTATTGAGGACGGTCGTCCATATACAATGGACAACCATCCAAATGAGATGGACTGGTGTCCATACTCAAATAATTTTTTTTTTTCATTTATAAAAAAAATGCAAGGCAAGAGAGATAGATAAAAAGTACTCACAATGTATAATTTTTTAAAGAAATTTTTTTATTAAACTAAAATTTGGGTATAGACGGCCGTCCATCTTACACAAACAGTCGTCTATTGTATACGGACGCCTGTCCATATAAGATCAATGCCCATCCATTATTTATTTTTAAACTTTTCTGGATGAGCGTCCATCTTATATGGACGCCCGTCCATAGTAAATGGACACCCATCCATTGATATTGTCATGGACGATCGTCCATTCGTGATGAACGATCGTCCATAACATATGGACGGCCGTCCGTATAAGATGGACGATCGTCCATTCACAGAATCAGTATTTTCTGTCCAACGTGGCCGCATCGTAGTGGATACCACGTCGTTCGGTAAAAAATCTCGGTGCACAAATTCGATGTCCTTAACATTAATCTTATTTTTATAATACTTTCTAATGTTTGAATTAAATTTATAGAAAAAATAATTTAAACGAGAGAGTCTAATGATTAAATATATGTATTATTACTTTGTGCATTTCATAAAATAATAATACATGGCCCAAAAATAAATTTGATTAGATTATTATAATTTACCAAACCAATATAAGAATATACACAATTGCTTAACAACTTATAAATTACACAAATTCAATTATCCTTGTAATTAATTAATGAGTCAGTTAAATATGATGTTAAACTTAATCAATGTTGGGAACTTGGGATAATGATATTTGTATCTTTTACAAATGGACTAATTTTATTAATTGTAGTAGAGATATTGTATTATTAATTAATTCATCAATTTACCTAGTAAATTATGTTAAGGTTGAATTTAGTTAGTTAATTTTGTGAAAAATTAATTAATTAACAAAGTTAACTAAGCCTAAGCCGCCATATAATTGAATAATTAATCAATTTATCTAATAAATTATGTTAAGATTAGATATAGATATATTTATTTTATGAAAAATTAATTAATTAACTGGGTTGATTAAGCGAAGTTTTCATACAATTAAATAAGTAATCAATTTAACTAGTAAATTATGTTAAGAGTGAATTTAGTTATATTAATTTTATGAAAAATTAATTAATTAACAAGGCTAACTAAGTCTAAACCTCTATACAATTGAATAATTAATCAATTTATCAAATAAATTATATTAAAATTAGATATAGATATATTTAATTGTGTTCGGGGAAAAATCTCTATGGAGCGAATTTCCCCGCAAAGCCTCGTTCATCGGGTCGGGCTGGGATGGGGATGAGAGTATTCCATCTTTATGGGCCGGGGACGGTCATGAGAGTGGATATCGGGGATGGGGAGTGCGGTCCCAAGCCCTGACCCAGCTCGCGTCCATCCCTAGTTTTAAGTTTTGATTCCAGATATTTAGTAACTAAAATTGACTGGTTCTAGTTCTGGTTCTCATTTCATTCCAGTTCTATGGGATTTAAGCTAATACACAAACTCGTCCACCTCTGG